CCCCTTCCCTTCCCCCTTCCCTTCCCCCTTCCTCCTTTCCCCCTCCCCTCCTCTCCCCCAGGAGGAAGTCAGAGGATTTGGAACATTGGCACAACTCTGACGTTTAGCATGAGGAAGGGGAAAGAAAGGAACAATATATATATATATATATATATATATATATATATATATATATATATATATATATATATATATATATATATATATATATATATATATATATATATATCTGAACGTCGTGTGTCGTGTCTGCTGGGGGAGGATCGACCACCGCGAGGAGCAGAGCCAGACTACTGCTGCTGCTACATCGATACCTTTCGCCCCCCACTGGTCGAAACGTCGTCCGGTGAGACTGGTCATGCCACCAGCTTCATTACTATGTCGTCTCGTAATCTCCACATATACACGCTATGAGTGTTTCCAACACACACACACACACACACACACACACACACTACGAGTGTTACCACACACACACACAAATTACGAGTGTTACCACACACACACACACACACACACACACACACACACACACAAACTACGAGTGTTTCCCACACACACACACACACACACAACACACACACACTGCGAGTGTTCCACACACACACACAAAACACACACACACACACACACACTACGAGTGTTACCACACACACACTACGAGTGTTACCACACTCAACACACAAACCACGAGTGTTACCACACACACACACACACACACACACACACACACACACACACAACAACACACACACACAACACACTACGAGTGTTACCACACACACAACACACAACCAACACACACTACGAGTGTTACCACACACACACCACACACACCTACGAGTGTTACCACCACACACACACCAACACACACACACACACACACCACACACACACACACAAACTACGAGTGTTACCACACACACAAACTACGAGTGTTACACCACACACACAACACACACACACACACCACACACAACACGAGTGTTACCACACACACACACACAAACTACAGTTACACACACACACACACACACACAAAACACGAGTGTTACACACACACACAGTACTGAGTGTTAAACCCACACACACACACTACATGTTACACACACACACTCACAACTACGAGTGTTACCACAACAACACACAACACACACATCACACACACAACAAAACACAGTTACACAACACATAACTACGAGTGTTACCACACACACACACACACAACATACATACACACACACACACACAAACACTTTACCACAAAACACACAACCACACTCACACACACACTTTGCAGATAGAGAAAAGATCTCACTACTAATGTGGTAACACTGTTATCCTAAATAAAAATCTTTAATTTTTCCTGATAGAGAATTGGATTCCTTATAATATATGAAGCAACGTTCTTCTTCTTCTTTTAATACATAAAAACAGCCGGTAAACATCATACATGGTATATATATGTATATTTATATATATTTATAACACGTTATTTACAAAAAGATAATTAATATCCAGTAATGGAGCTGTACAAGTGCTGACCTGATTAACCAGAGGTTATTAATCCGAATTATCCCAGAATCTTGACGGATTAACGGGACAACTTTTTTTTAATCCGGATTAACCGATTATTTTGCATTTCGGATTAGCCGACTATCTTTTTGCTTTGGATTAACCGACCGGTTTTTAATCCGGATTAGCAAAACGTCTTTTAATTCGGATTAATCGGACATTTTACTTTTAATCCGAATTAATAGAACCTTTTTCTTTTATTTCGGATTAACCGAGTATTTTTCTTATTACGAACACTTTCACCTTTCTGAGGAAGTCGTAACGGATATTACACAGAACACTGATAATTCCGAACACAGTGTAGGCCTATACTAGATGATTTCGAACACAGTACAGGCCTATACAATTCCGAAGATAGTGTAGGCCTATACTACATGATTCCGAACGCAGTACAGGCCTATACAAGATAATTCTGAACACAGTACAAGCCTATATACAATAATTTCGAACACAGTATAGATTTATACTAGAAAATTTCGAACACAATTCAGGCCCATGCATCCTGCATTTTTTTTTTCATAATATTTGGCATGTTCGAATATTTAGCAAATCAGGTGAAGGGGTCTTGATCCAAGAAATTGGAGTTGCACCTCCCTTTCCTCGGGTGGAAACTGATTACTTTCCATTTTCATGTCGGTGTCTGACCCCTACGGTTGAGCGCTTCCCTATAATAACAATCTTCGCATTTCATACGTTCAGGCAGTTGTGTGTGTGTGTGTGTGTGTGTGTGTGTGTGTCTGTATGTGTGTGTCTGTATGTGTGTGTGTGTGTGTGTGTGTGTGTGTGTGTGTCTGTGTGTGTTGTGTTGTGTGTGTCTGTGTGTGTGGTCTGTATGTGTGTGTGTGTGTGTGTGTGTTGTATGTGTGTGTGTGTGTGTGTGTGTGTTGTGTGTGTTGTGTGTGTGTCTGTGTGTGTGTGTGTCTGTGTGCTGTGTGGTGTGTGTGTGTGTGTGTGTGTGTGTGTGTGTGTGTGTGTGTGTGTGTCTGTATGTGTGTCTGTCTGTATGTGTGCGTGTGTGTGTGTGTGTGGTGTGTGTGTGTGTGTGTGTGTGTGTGTGTGGTGTGTGTCTGTGTGTCTGGTCTTATGTGTGTGCGTGTGTGTGTGCGTGTGTGTGTGATATAGATTTTCATAAACTATCGGAACTGTTACAAATGGGACGAGAGGAGAGAGAGGAGAGAGAGAGAGAGAGAGAGAGAGAGAGAGAGAGAGAGAGAGAAACACAAGGACCAGTTATCGTCCACAACTCACAACTTCCTTCTTCCGGACCGACCCGCTGGTCATTGCTGGCCAGCCTTGATAACCAGTGGCCCGGTACTGGTCTCATGTAGTTGTCTAGGCCAGTCCTAGATGACTGAATCCTCTAGACTGGTCTGCTGTAGCGGTCTAGGCAGGCACCGGATCTAGAACGATTTATTTAGATCCTAAATAATAAAGTATCGTCTAGTGTGGTCTGATAGGGTCGTGGATAGTCCAAGATAGTCTCCTAGTAGTAAACCATCATCTAGACGGGCTGGAGTTTTGAGACTCTATGACCGCGGGTTCAATCCCGGCCGGGGGTATGGTTTTTTTAAACCATCATCTAGCCTGATTTGATAGGGTCGTGGATGGTCTCAGATATTCTCCTATTTGCAAGATTATGCAACCTGCTTTGATAGGGTCGTGGATGGTCTAAGTTAGTCTCCTAGCAGCAAGACCTTCATCTAACCTAGCCTGATATGCTTTCATTCCCTAGATTACCTCCGAGAGAGAGTCTACGAAAGCATTCACAACTTAGTCGTCTAGTTTCTATATGAAGTAGATAAAATATATTATTCAGAGTGAGTCTGTCTCTTCCATATTAATAGAATGTTGTTAACTAGGAATTTATCTAACGAAAATAGCAAACAAAAATGGTGGGGGCTTCCATGGTTGCGTCTAACCTGTTTACAAGACCTGGGAGTGGTGGCGCAGGATGGCAATGTTCTGGAGAAAGCTGGACCGATGTCTTCTGCATGTGGCTGGCCAGCAGCAACAGCCAGGTTGATTAAGGAGTTATGGAAGTTTGGGTGAAGGCCTGACAGCCAGTAGGTGGAGAGTCGATATTCCCTCCGCTGACTTTTATAGTTAAGAATAAGGTGGCGCAGGGAGATAAGGGAAAAATGAGAGAGAGAGAGAGAGAGAGAGAGAGAGAGAGAGAGAGAGAGAGAGAGAGAGAGAGAGAGAGAGAGAGAGAGAGAGAGGGTGTGAGAGAGAGAGAGAGAGAGAGAGAGAGAGAGAGAGAGAGAGAGGGTGTGAGAGAGAGAGAGAGAGTTGCTTTTCCTCTAAGTGATTGGTAAAAATAACACCCAATTTAAAGGATGAATAAAAATAGCAAGAACTCGTTTAAAATTAAGTCCTTTCTAAAATTTTCTCTTATACGTTTAAAGATATATTTTTTCATTTATGTTTACATAAAAATTAATAATTTTGTACCAAAAGAACCTTAGAAAACTTACCTAACCTTATTATAACAAGCGCAATTTAATTTAGCCTAATCCAATTAAATATATTTTAGATAAGTTTACAATTTAATAATAAACAAACACAATGAAATATATTTTTTTTCGTTAGATTCAGAATGATTTTTGCGAAATTATTGCCTAAATAAATTTTTGCTTGCCTTATTGGGCAAGAAGAGCGTTGCTATTTAAGCCTAAATGGCAAGTTTTACCTATTTGGCACGGCATATATATATATATATATATATATATATATATATATATATATATATATTATATATATATATATATATATATATATATATATATATATGGGGTCCACCTCTGGTGTAAATTGTGGGACCCATAGCCTCGGAGAAGTGGATAAAAAGGCTTCAAGGAAGAATATTTGGATTTCTTCCTGAAGCCATTTGAATATTCCACTTCCCCTACCACCCCATCTTTTAAACTATTTTTTTTTTTACCAATAGGAATATTTTATTACATAATATGGTACAGAAGATTTAAGAGATACATTGTTGATATAAAGGTGGCATATACGGTACATGTTGTTACGTGTGTATCACCGATTATAAGGCGAAAATCTCATCCATGTCATATGTCGTGCCGAATAGGCAGAACTTGCGATCTTGGCTTAAATAGCAACGTTCATCTTGCCATATAGGACAAGTGAAAATTTGTGTATGCAGTAATGTCGCCAGAATCATTCTGAACCTAACGAAAAAAAATATATTTCACTGTGTTTGTTTAGTACTAAATTATTGTAAACAAATCTAAAATATATTTAGTTGGGTTAGGCTAAAATAAATTGTTCTTGTTATAATAAGGTTAGGTAAGTTTTCGAAGGTTCTTTTGGTGCAAAATAAAATTTTTTTACATTAACATCAATGAAAAAATATATTTTTAAACGTATAAGAGAAAATTTTAGAAAGGACTTAATTTTAAATACAAAATAATAAATACAGACTTAGGATGAATTCCACGCTCTGGCCCCTATGCTGATTAAGATCTATTGATCCAAGGAAGTGGAGCGGCCTTTCCTCTCCTTCGGGTCAAACCTGATTGCCACCTGTGATATTCTTACGGGTTTAATTCTTCCTCGTAAATATCTATTATGAAATCATTGGTTACCAGAATAAAAGATAGAATAGGGAGATGCAAGAGATAAAGGAGACCAAAGAGACAGAGGAGGAGACAGAAGAGACAGAGGAGACAGAAGAGACAGAGGAGGAAGAGACAGACGAGAAAGAGGAGACAGAAGAGAGAGGAGACAGAGGCAGTAGAGATGGTGAGTGAAGAAAAAAGATGAGGTGTAAAGGAAAAAAGATAAAAGAAGGTTGAAAGGGACAAAGAAAGTGTAACAAAGGCAAAAGAAAGCGTTGAGACGGCAGAAGAAAGGTGGCGTTAGGTGACGTGTTGTGGGGGTTAGATGACGTGTGGTTGTTAGGTGACATGTAGTGGTGTTAGGTGACGTGCGGTGGTGTTAGGTGATGTGTGTTGGCTTTAGGTGACGTGTGGGGGTGTTAGGTGATGTGTGGTGGTGTTAAATGATGTGTGGTAGCTTTTGGTGGAGTATGTTGGTATTAGGTGATGTGTTATGGTGTTAGGTAACGTGTTATGGTACTAGGTAACATGTAGTGGCGCTAAATGACGTGTGATGGTGTTAGGTGATGTGTGGTGGTGCTAGGTGACGTGTGGTGGTGTTAGGTGATGTGTGGTGGCATTAGCTGACGTGTAGTGGTGTTAGGTGATGTGTGGTGGTGTTAGGTGATGTGTGATGGTGCTAGGTGATGTGTGGTGATGTTAGGTGACGTGTGGTGATGTTAGGTGATGTGTGGTGGCTTTAGGTGATGTGTGTTGGTGTTAGGTGATGTGTGATGGTGTTAAGTGATCTGTGGTGGCTTCAGGTGATGTGTGGTGGCTTTAGGTGATGTGTGGTGGCTTTAGGTGATGTGTGTTAGTGTTAGGTGATGTGTATTGGTGTTAGGTGATGTGTGGTGGCTTTAGGTGATGTGTGTTAGTGGGTGATGTATATTGGTGTTAGGTGATGTGTGGTGGCTTTAGGTGATGTGTGTTAGTGTTAGGTGACGTGTGGTGGTGTTAGTTTACGTGTTATGATGTTAGGTGATGTGTCTTGGCTTTACGTGAAGTGTGTTGGTGTTAGATGATGTGTGGTGGTGTTAGGTGATGTGTGATGGTGTTAGGTGACGTGTGGTGGTGTTAGGTGACGTGTGGTGGTGTTAGGTAACGTGTGGTGGTGTTAGGTAACGTGTAGTGATGTTAGGTGGTTTGTGTGGGCCTATTAGGTGGCGTGTAATGTTGTTATGTGACGTCCAGTTAAATGTGATGTCTGGTGATTTCACGCAACGTCTCTTGACGCTAAGTGACATCTATCGGTTCTCGGTGATGCCTGGTGGTGCTGTAACACATCTGCAAGCATTACGAGACCCACAAAAAACATGTGAAAAATGTCAGAATTAGAACATCAGTCATGCTCAACCTTGAACTCGCATGAACACTTGGAGTACGTGTTCACCTGCTTCCTGAGCACTTGGCAACGATCGTAAAGGAGAGGCGACTGGACCAGTACCTGCTACATGTACCAGATCAACCAGCCTCTGAAGGTTGTGTTAGCCTGCGGGCCGTTAGCTGCAACAGCCTGCTTAACCAGGCAGCCAGAAACAGTTGTGTCACAGGTGCCAAAGACAACAGAACGCATGGCATCAGCGGCAGATCTTTAAGATTGCTAAACTGAAGTCCTTAGAAGCTTATCACATATCACAAAATGGATTCCACTGTTATTCTTATGCCGTCCCACTGGACGCATCACACTTGCAGTGGAAGCGGTGACATGTTCAGTGGGAAGAAGACCTTCAGGAGGAAGTGCAAGAGGAAGAGGTGTAGCATTCTCACAGTGGAAGAAGCGAGGCTCGGGGCACGCGAAGGATAGTTACGAAGTGCAGGATGGGAGTCGAAGTGCATACCTGTGTTCCTCTCGTCATCTTCCTCGTCTTCCGTGTCTGCGGAGGAAGGAAGGAAGGAGAGGTGTTATTACGTTAAAATGGATTAAGAATGATGCATGTTTCTCTCTCCAGTGTGTCTGACTGTTGATATTTAACCTAGACTTCGTCTCTGCTATACACTGGTTAAATGCAAGCTTAAACCAAATGTGGTTGATGAAGCAACGAAGCCAGAAGAATGCAGATGGTCATGCGAGTTTTGGTAGTGAGATCAAGAATACGTAGGCAAATTAGATGATAAGCAATAAAATTAAATAATAGAGAGAGAAAAAGAAAGAGATCATTTTAAAACCATTTTTCTTAACTAAAACACTGAAAACCAATACAGAATCAATCTCTTGAACACAGAAGGGTAAAAAACCTTCCAGATTATTTATTCACAAGACACATATTTCCATTTTTCTTCTTGCCCTTAACTCGCACACCTAAGTAATACACAGTAGTCCTTAATCTACATAAAGGTACATAGTTCTTCTGAGCAGATAGTCTGGGTATGGACTTCGAAGTCTTCTGCTGTTTTTTGTATGTCTACTCGTCACCTCTCGCTTCTTCCCCCCAGTCTCCCTACTTTGACTGACCTTTCCTCTTGTTCTTGCCGAGGAGCTTCCGAACATCGAACTCAATAACACCGTCAGGAGTGACGGTGGAGACCATGCCATCGTCGCCATCCTCGTCTTCACCCCTTCGTCTGCCACCACGACGCCTGTCGCTGCGGCCAGCTTGACCCTCTGAAAACGCCTCTCTTTGAGCCTGGTGCAACTGGATGTCTCCTACACTGATGGAACTGTCTCCTACGCTGATGGAACTACACTGATGGAACTGTCTTAACTGATGTAACTGAATATCTCTTGCATCCAGTAGTAAGGAGTTCTGATATTTAATTTTCACAAGACTAGTGAGTTATAAATAAATAACTAAATATATATATATATATATATATATATATATATATATATATATATATATATATATATATATATATATATAACAATTCGCAAACAGGCGAAATTATTTACAAACATTGTTTCTACGTCCACAGCAGGACTCGAACCTACAAACTCTGTATCAGAGTAACCAGAACTTTACCAAGGAGCTAGGGGTGGTAAAGTACTGGTTGCTCTGATAGAGATTGCAGGTTCGAGTCCTACTGTGGACGTAGAGACAATGTTTGTGTTGTATATATATATATATATATATATATATATATATAATATATATATATATATATATATATATGCAATAAGATTGCAATATGCAGAGTAACCACTGTGAAAAAATAGTGAAATTCCAAGCGCTTTCGTTTGAATGGTTTGAAGGTATATATACCTGGACCACATCAGCTGACGTGAGAATGTTTACCCCATCAGCTGACGTGAGAATGTTTACCCCATCAGCTGACGTGAGAATGTTTACCCCATCAGCTGACGTGAGAATGTTTACCCCATCAGCTGACGTGAGAATGTTTACCCATCAGCTGACGTGAGAATGTTTACCCCATCAGCTGACGTGAGAATGTTTACCCCATCAGCTGACGTGAGAATGTTTACCCCATCAGCTGACGTGAGAATGTTTACCACATAAGATAATATGAAAATGCCGTCATTAAAACAATGCAGCTGTAATAGTTGACTGAGGAACACTAAATAGAAGAGCTGATAAAAGTGCGTAAAAGGAATAGTTGCGTGGAAGGGAGACACAGAAGTATGGATAGAGGTGAGAGGGAAGAATAAGATGGTTAAAAAGTGTGAAAGAACGAATAAAAGAGGGAGAGGGATAGTTAGAATAAAAAGAATGAGAGGGATAGTCAGAATAAAAACAGGAGGAGTGATTAGATAGTCTAAAGACACTTGTAATCAAACAATCAAGATCTCTATGAGAGTGATGGATAAGGTCGAGTTATCCCCAACATGAGAGGCGGAACAGAAGCAAATAACAAGAGACTTACGATTAAATTCCATACGTAGTAAAGGTAACAGAGGCACATTAATTACAAAGGTGATAGTGGTGCATTAATTGCTGAGCCCTTAACCGAGGGTTGCAATACACACCATTGCAAAGGTACTTTGAGTAAAATGGCATCGTTTCAACTCTTTCTTTATTATTAAACCATTTAAAAAACACGCGGTTTAGAAGGAATTTGTCTGTGTGTGGTTTATTCTAAACTAGCTCCGTGTGGTCCATACGGGTCTAGAGGTTCCGAATATAGCAACTGAGATACAACATTCCGAAATGAAAATTCCGAACGTATATATATATATATATATATATATATATATATATATATATATATATATATATATATATATATATATATATATATATATATATATATATATATATATATATATATATTAGTATTAAAAAAGGCTTAATCTCAGGGACTCTAAATTTAAATTATCTCTAAATCTAAACTATTTCTGAACGTAAGTTATCCATGACGTCACGTATAAACTTAATCTTCAACTTAAATTACAATAATGTCAACAGTAGTTATGTGATACGTTAATATTCCTACGTTCAGACTTCAACATTTGTGTAATTTATGAACATGACATTCTTAATGTCTTCAAAATAATAATAATAATAATTATTAATATTTATAATGCTACGAGAATAATAGTAATAATAATAATAATAATGTAAGGATGTCAAAAAATTATTAACACAAACAGTAATAATAATAATAATAAAAATAATAATAATAATAATAATAATAATAATAATAACACTAATAATAATAGTAAATTAAAAAAATCATTATTACTATTATTATTATTATTATTATTATTATTTTGTCAGAGGATCAAGACAGTGAAGGAATATCAGTCGTCATAATTTCCAACAGACACTGCTGTATAATTAGTATAGCATGAAGATACATAGCACAGGGCATGAAGATACATAGCACAGAGCATGAAGATACATAGCACAGAGGCATGATGATACTAGCACAGGCATGAAGATACATAGCACAGAGCATGAAGATAATAGCACAGAGCATGAAGATACATAGCACAGGGCATGAAGATACATAGCACAGGGCATGAAGATACATAGCACAAGGCATGAAGATACATAGCACAGGGCATGAAGATACATAGCACAGAGCATGAAGATACATAGCACAGGCATGAAGATACATTCACAGAGCATGAAGATACATAGCACAGAGCATGAAGATACATAGCACAGGGCATGAAGATACATAGCACAGAGCATGAAGATACATAGCACAGAGCATGAAGATACATAGCACAGAGCATGAAGATGCATAGCACAGGGCATGAAGATACATAGCACAGAGCATGAAGATGCATAGGACAGAGCTTGAAGATACATAGCACAGAGCATGAAGATTACATAGCACATAGCATGAAGATACATGCACAGAGCATGAAGATACATAGCACAGAGCATGAAGATACATAGCACAGGGCATGAAGATACATAGCACAGAGCTTGAAGATACATAGCACAGGGCATGAAGATACATAGCACAGAGCATGAAGATACATAGCACAGAGCATGAAGATACATAGCACAGGGCATGAAGATACATAGCACAGAGCTTGAAGATACATAGCACAGGGCATGAAGATACATAGCACAGAGCATGAAGATACATAGCACAGAGCATGAAGATACATAGCACAGGGCATGAAGATACATAGCACAGAGCATGAAGATACATAGCACAGGGCATGAAGATACATAGCACAGAGCATGAAGATACATAGCACAGGGCATGAAGATACATAGCACAGAGCATGAAGATACATAGCACAGAGCATGAAGATACATAACACAGGGCATGAAGATACATAGCACAGAGCTTGAAGATACATAGCACAGGCATAAGATACATATCACAGAGCATGAAGATACATAGCACAGGGCATGAAGATACATAGCACAGGGCATGAAGATACATAGCACAGAGCTTGAAGATACATAGCACAGGGCATGAAGATACATAGCACAGAGCTTGAAGATACATAGCACAGGGCATGAAGATACATAGCACAGGCATGAAGATACATAGCACAGGGCATGAAGATACATTAGCACAGAGCATGAAGATACATAGCACAGGGCATGAAGATACATAGCACAGGCATGAAGATACATAGCACAGGGCATGAAGATACATAGCACAGGGCTTTGAAGATACATAGCACAGGGCATGAAGATTACATAGCACAGAGCTTGAAGATACATAGCACAGAGCATGAGAAGATACATAGCACAGGGCATGAAGATACATAGCACAGGGCATGAAGATACATAGCACAGAGCTTGAAGATACATAGCACAGGGCATGAAGATACATAGCACAGGGCATGAAGATACATAGCACAGGGCATGAAGATACATAGCACAGGGCATGAAGATACATAGCACAGAGCTTGAAGATACATAGCACAGAGCTTGAAGATACATAGCACAGGGCATGAAGATACATAGCACAGAGCATGAAGATACATAGCACAGGGCATGAAGATACATAGCACAGAGCTTGAAGATACATAGCACAGGGCCATGAAGATTACATAGCACAGGGCATGAAGATACATAGCACAGAGCATGAAGACACATAGCACAGGGCATGAAGATACATAGCACGGGGCCCTTAAAGATACTTTAGCCCCAGAGCTTGAAGACACATAGCACAGGGCATGAAGATACATAGCACAGGGCTTGAAGATGCATAGCACAGGGCTTGAAGATACATAGCACATTACATGAAGATACATAGCACAGGGCATGAAGATACATAGCACAGGGCATGAAGATACATAGCACAGGGCTTGAAGATACATAGCACAGGGCATGAAGATACATAGCACAGGACATGAAGACACATAGCACAGGGCATGAAGATACATAGCACAGGGCTTGAAGATACATAGCACAGGGCATGAAGATACATAGCACAGGGCATGAAGACACATAGCACAGGGCATGAAGATATATAGCACAGCCCATGAAGATACATAGCACAGGCCATGAAGATACATAGCACAGCACATGAAGATACATAGCACAGGCCATGAAGATACATAGCACAGGGCTTGAAGATGCATAGCACAGGGCATGAAGATACATAGCACAGGGCTTGGAGATACATAGCACAGGGCATGAAGATACATAGCACAGGGCATGAAGACACATAGCACAGGGCATGAAGACACAAAGCACAGGGCATAAAGATACATAGCACAGGGCATGAAGATACATAGCACAGGGCATGAAGATACATAGCACAGGGCATGAAGATACATAGCACAGGGCATGAAGATACTAGCACAGGTGAAGATACATAGACAGGGCATGAAGATACATAGCACAGGCATGAAGATACATAGCGCAGGGCTTGAAGATACATAGCACAGGACATGAAGATACATAGCACAGGGCATGAAGATACATAGCACAGGGCATGAAGATACATAGCACAGGCATGATTAGATACATAGCACAGGGCATGAAGATACATAGCACGGGTTTGAAGATACATAGCACAGGGCTTGAAGATACATAGCACAGGCATGAAAAAACATAGCACAGGGCTTGAAGATACATAGCACAGGGCATGAAGATACATAGCACAGGGCATAAAGGGCACATAGCACAGGGCATGAAGATACATAGCACAGGGCGTGAAAGTTACATAGCACAGGGCATGGAAGATACTTTAGCACAGGGCATGAAGATACATAGCACAGGC